CAGCAGGATTGCAATTATAGATCATACCCGTCGTCCCAAATTACAGCCTTTGCAGTACTTTCTATTGCTACCAACAATTTTAACCTTAACACCTTAAGAAAATATACTTTAAGCAGGCAAATGATTTACAAAAAATTTAAGTAATAATATTCATCTTTTCCCACAAATCTAATCGTCAGGTAGCACGTGATCCCTCCGGAAGAGGACGCAATATTCCTTACATAAATCCCTGTCAATCACATTTCATCCTACCGCAATATAAACAGACCCACCCGCTGTTCTTCGGTGATGACGTTGATTTCACAGACTATAAGAACCAGCGGAAATGAAATCAACTGCAACAAAACCGGTTAATAAAGTAGAACAGTGTGCAAACCCGTCTAAAGACATTAAATAAGAATAGGGTAAGTCATACAAATGTTTGAATAAAGAAAGATCGAGCAATAGCAACGAGAAAGTACGTAAAATCCTACGGCGTTCAAAGCCCCGCAAAATTTACAGTAAGATTAAATGTAAATTACCAACAGCTCATAGCAGCTCCTACGCGTTCCGGTGGGAAAACTACTAACAGCTGCAACCAGAAGGGGGATTGAATTACGGTTAACGAATTCCCTTCACGAAAAACTCGAGCTTCTTAAATAAGGTCAAGTGACGACAAATAGTAGAATTTTAAAAAATTGTCTCAAGTTCCATTTTCGGCTTCGGTGGAAGCATAAGAAACCTGCAAAGCTCCATAAGCACGTTAGAGCCAATAAACACTATCAAAGGGATAGTCTCGGTGGTAAAAATAAGATCAAAAGGTGTCGCTTGAAACCTAATAAGTCAAGAAAATTCAGTTACGCAAATAATAAGCACCTTGCAAGAGAAAGTCAGAGGTGAATTAGTAGAAGCCATAACGGTCAAGGCGATAGTTGTAAAACCAAAAAGAGAAGACGGCAAGCGTATGTTATCGATGAACCAACCAACGACTTCATTGCTGGAAAGAGCGAAGACGTCTCCGCATCTTCCTAACAATGCGGAAGAGATTGAACTTGAATGTCGAACTGAGGCGGTCAAACCTTGCAAGTTGGAAGAAATACTGCGAAAACATAAAAAACCTTTCAGAAAAATCGTGTCTCCAGAAACCTCTATCCAAAGATCGCAGCAGTAGAATATACCCTCTAAAGAAGCACTTGCCACCCTGAGGACGGATGGTTTGGGTTGTGCCAGACTCAAATGGGTTGGTTTAGAGCTTTGTTTGATTTGTAAAGAGGGTGTTACTTCACTTCCTCCTCCCTCTTCACTTCCTCATAGCCTAAACTTGACTAACTAACTTATGCCTAGACAAAACTTGCCTAACTCCTTGTTCTGATTCCCCTTAGTTCCGGCTACCCTACTAGACCGGACCAGTTTGTCCCTCGACACAGAGTATTTGGAACCAGCTCTTTTACGGCTCCCGTCGAGGTTGCGTTTTGGCAACCTTACAATATACCAATCTCTCGTTGTCCGTCTAGCTCTTTACTTAATCCTAATTCTTAACCTAACTTAGTCTAGTACTTAGTCTAGTTGGGATCCGATTGCCTCTCTTCCTCCGTATGAATGTAGGTTGCTTCTGCTGTCCCTACCGTCTCTTGAGAAACGTAGGTTTGTTCTTGGCGTTTCCTTTCTAATTAAAGTAATAAATGGTGCTATTGACTCGCCTTCATTACTTGGTGAAATAAGCTTTAATGTCCCTAACCGCTTCTATAGGCACTTTATCTTGGTTAAGGTTAGTCAATGTGAATATAATTATGAGCTGTTCAATCCGCTCAGAGTAGTTTGCAAGAACCTAAATGACGTCTATCACTTATTCTCGTTATCGGACTCTTTAAAGTCCATTAAAGCAACATTGCTTAATACGCGCGATTTACCTATGTCGTATTTAAA